CATCACCAAACCCGAATGAAAACATCAAAGTAATACTGTCATCAAGAAGAATTGGTTCTTTTTTCAGGAATCATTTCCTTCATGCCTCAGCTACTCCACTTATTTTCTTTTTTTGGAAAATGTCAAAAGAAATTCTCAGTGGTAATCAAAAAGAATTTGATAATTTCATCAAAGCAAGAATGCATGGCACTGTGTAAAGTTTTATCAGAAAATACAGGGCCTGAAAAAGTATACAAATAACTAATATTTGCCTTTAATCTATATTAACAGTCTCTTTAGTCACTTATCAGAGTGCTGCTTTCTCTGCAAAAAGCAGGATTTGGAGATATCACATATTGATATTGACACAGAAAAAAGTGGGGAAAAAAGGTTTATAGGTTGCTAAAAATTATAGGTTACTTATGTCAAAGCTTAAAATATTGAATATATTTCCTCTTTTTCAAACTGAGATATTCATTCTCACATTACCTTCATTGAATGATTTGGGACGCAAAGGGCCTGAGCTACCAGAGTTTCCCCTGGTTCTTCTTCTGCCCCTCCCCCATCCATTTCTGCACACTGACCCTTTACAGTACAGGGCTGCAACATTGCCTCGCTATAAAGATAAATGTAACATTTTAAAAAGATTTACAGCTATAAACACATCAGCTGTTATGGAAAAAAAATAAATAATAGCATTAATGTAACTGAGAAAACAGTTGGTCTTGTCTTTTAAAAAACTAGCAAGTTGAGCCAAGCACAGGGCCAATACAAGCTACCATATGTTAAGGTGGTGATATACACAGTCTTCTCTGTATTAGTTTTAAAAGTTGTTTTCTTTTACATATTTATCCTATAGAACCTAATCAAGTATCATAAAAATCTGAGATATGGTGCTTTTAAGCTTCTATCACCTAATACAATTTTTATTTTTGCCACTAAGCAAAATAAACTTGCAAATAAACTTGCAAGAATTAACCCCCTAAACTTTTAACCTTCTGCTGGCATTGGATTAGCTTTCCAAAATGTAATAATCTATCGTATAATATGTAGATTCTTTATCTCACTTGACATGCAAATTCTTAGAGAAGCTTCAGTTGGTCCACTGTGAGTATTGAATTTTAGACCCAGATGATACGGAAAGTGAATATATGTGGCAGTGATACCATGAATACTACAAATATAGTCATAATGTGCTTTAAAGATCTGACCCACATGCAGAGAACCACTCAGAGACCAAGGGTAAAAGTTAAACAGGTTTATTGTAGGTTAGCAAACACTGTGGGGAAACAATGCTGGAACTCAGCGGACTGGTGAACCGGAACCGGAAACTCTGGAGGGGTGATCACAGTGATCAGTTCAGGGACAGTGGGAAAATAGACTGAGGCTTGAATGTTGCTGGAGAGGTGCTCACTTTTAGGGGGCTCTTGGTTTATCCTTGGATCCAGTTTGTGGGGGGTTTAATCCAGAAAAGAGGGAACTCGTTGGAGAGCGGACAGGCAGACATACTCCCAGAGGAGTAAAGGAGCAGACTGTCACTTGGTTTTCCAGGAGTGGACTTGAACGGATCATGTGGAGGTTTTCCCCTTGCTCAGTGAGACTCGGTAAATCCTTCCAGGGGGTAGAAGGTCCAGGCTTATCCAGTAAAACAGTCTCCCTGCCGAAGAACCAAAACAAAAAACAAGTTCAGACTCAGAGAAACAATGCTAAGGTTAAACTCTGCTAATCTGTTTGGCTAGAGTACCCAATACTGGTAAACACTCTGGTGTCGAGGTGGTGACAGCCTGCAGCTCAAGTACTCCTCTGGTAATGACCCAATGAGCCGCAGGTGTGCAGGAGGCCCAATGAGGAAAGGGCACCATCTGGTGGTAGAGAGAGGAAAACAAAAAAAAACAACCCACACAAAATGGAATCCTAACAAATATCCACTATTGCAATCAAATGAAAGTAAAGAAGGCTTTAAACTAATCCTTTAAGGACCATTTATTGTCATAGAAGTTTCTCACCTCGACATGCTGAACACTTAGAGCAGCTTTAAATTAACTACTGCCTGATATTTAATTCTTCTGTTTTTCACCATTGGCTGTGTTCTGGGGTGGTGCAAAGGACTTTGAACTTTTACTTGTGGATCAATCAGGTATGAGAAAAAATTCTAAGTTAATAAACAATTTTCAATTTAGTTACTAAAATAATAAAACTAATACTTTTATGCCAAATTAGTTAGCTTTTACTAAGGCTTATAGAGAAGCAATGTTGAAAGGAACAGTATATTTTACCTATGTGAATCAAATATTCATGTAGCTTGATAAGATAACAATGAATGCCTCACATTTGAAAGTTTTTTTTCCCCCCTTTATGCTCTAGTCTCTATGTTCAGACTGGGAGAAGATGTGCTTTAAAGGAGAGAGGCCAGTGCAGAAAGCAAAAACGTATAAGTAATCACACAGGGAGCAGCAATTAGTCATTTTGAAGAGGTTGCTCAGTGACTGAGTGACTGATATTGGCTGAAATGTGTGAATTTGAACATGCAACTAAGAGAAATTGTGATGCAAAAAAAAGTACTCTTGTTTTCTTGCAGCTTAAAATTGCATTTTCACATTCATCATTCACCATATTGAGTCTAAGAAATCCAGAATAAAATATTGCTTCGTTTTGCATATGTTTGAGTTATTTTTAAGTGCAAGTAACCATTATTGGATCTAAAAAGGTTTTCTCCCATACTTATCATCCATTAAAACGGTGCTGCTTGGAAAGATTTGTTTTTTTGCAATAAGCCATAGAAACGCTAGTGCAAACTTTAACTGCCTCGTTTTTTAATCCTTTCTCATGCAACTTCATCAAGTGTATATGAAATTAAAGAGAGGCTAGTCTCAATATGCATCTTGAGGAAAAACATGTATTTATTGAACAGTTGGAAAGGTTTACTCACCAAATTAATATGCTGTCAAATGTTCCAGGAGCACACTCTCTCATTAGTACCCATTAACACCTCTTAGTTCTTGTGACCATAATGTACCAGACTGCTGGGAGAATACAAAACATTCATCAGAGATACAAAACAAATTAACAAGGAGTTATCATAAAGAAAACCTAAACAACAAAGTTTACTACTTTTAATATCACAATAAGCAATTATATGAATGAAAACAACGCTTATGCAATGAAGTTATCTGACGGTTTGAGTCCCTTAAAATAAACGTACTTTGGGAGAAGGTCCAGTGAAAGAAAAATAGTAATTTAAATGGAAATGTATCACTTACTGACCAGATTTCTCTTATAAGTAAAAAAAAAAGGCTGTTTGAATTGTTATCTTATCTTATTTTTTGTAATAACTGCTTTATTAAAAAAAAAAAACATCTTAAAATCACTAAAACTACTCCTAACAAAATAGTTCAGATGTGTTTTCACACAGTAAGTACACATATGCTGTGGAATAGGTATTATTAATGAGAGAAGTACAGCACCATTTGCATTCATAGGCACCCCTTAGGGAGGTGTGTTCAAAGTTTCCAACTAACTTCATCATGCTGCTATTTCTTATAAACAGGTGTAACCAAATATCTTTAATAAATGTCCTACCTCTTTCAAAGTCTTTTTGTCTCTGAACCTTTAATTAGAAATTCATGTCCTTCACTTTTTCCCAACATAGAGGACTAAGATCCACGTTTTAACATCAGAAAGACACATAAACATATCCTTTAAGTGACTCAAATGTATATTAATTGGGCGAGAGGCTGGATGCTATGTGGACAGGTTACTAATCCATTGACAGGGATAACAAACAGACAGTCAACCAGAGACAGCACCTCTGTGCTTTTCTCGAGATGCTTCAATAAAACTTGTACGTTCATTGTTTTACAGTGATTTCTTGCAACAACGGCTAAAAGGCAATAAACAAAGTGCTATACTATTGCAAAAGGGATAGTCTACCGTTGTTGTCACTCAGGAGGAAATGTCCAAACTTTTATTTTTCGAGAAATTTTGACATACTGAGTGACAAACTTCCTCTTTCAAATTAAAAGCCAACTGCTACTAGTCAGATTATATCATATGCTTTTTGAGACCCCTCATGATTTCATGTTTCATTTATGTAGCTGGTGGTTTTTGTAATAATGCATATACATGAAAACAGCTAATAATTAAACTATGCAACTTAGTGCTTATTTAGGTTCTGAGCTGCCTGAGGCTATATATACTGTCTATATAAATATATATCTTGTTTTTAAAGGCGTTTAAAATAAAATGTATTATTATATCATCTCAGAGGGTTGTTTTGTTAGCAGATATCATAGCTGAGCAATGAATCCCAGCAGCTCCTCCAGAGATAAAATGACCTTCCTGTCAGCCATGTCAGGATGTTTGCCCTTGTGTCTGTTTATTTTTAGAGTGAGTTTTTGCTATTAAGTAATATTTTATAACTTATCCAAACTTTAAACTTATCCACAACATTTTGCTTGTTCCTTATAGTGGACTTTGATCAGTAATGTTATGTTATTAATCCTCAGAGTCACCATGGCTTCTGTATTTCTTTTTATAATAGATTATAAACTGAGTTTTTAATGTTAAAATAAGGTGACTTCTGAAAGCAAATGGATACACTTTTACCGAGTGGTATCAGAGTAATGGGGCTGTATTCATATAGATGCTATTTTTATTTGTAAATTATTTGGAAAATCATGCATCCTTTTCATCCTGTTCATAGGTTTGTGCTTTAAGACATTACCAATATAATACATTGATTTTTGGGTCCCCAAAAAATCTGGGTCCCCCCAGAATACCTGGAGGAGATGTGTGTTTATAGCAAAGTCTGGGCATCTCTGCTTTGACTGCTGCCTCCACGTCCTGGCAGAAGAAAATGGAATGGATTTTTGTGTCCGTAATGTGGTCTGAAAATGTTTATTGGTTGTTAACACCAAGAGTCTGTGCATGGTGGAAGCTGAGGTTTTTTGTTATTTTTCCTGATCTGCCACTCTCAACAGAATTATCAAAAATGAAAATAAAGGAAATGTTTTTTATTTCAGGAGTGCAAGAATCCATTCAGGAAAAGGTCATAACTGTGTCTGGAGAGGGAATGATCCACAGCCCAGACTTCCCACACACCTATCCAAGGAACAGCATGTTGGTCTGGAGACTGGTGGCAGCCAACAGCATGAGGATCCAGCTCACATTTGATGAGAGATTTGGTCTGGAGGATCCTGAAGATGGAATATGCAAGTAAGACATTAGATAGGAAATAACTCAACATCGTCATTTGAAAACAGACAGAGCAGGGATGCAGTTATCTGAGACATTGAATTAGGGATTCAAAATTCTTTTTACTTAGATTTTTATCACAGAAAAAAAGGCAATTATGTTACTTCTGAGGGCAAATTTCAAACCTTAACTTCATTTTCTACCACCATTTATATGTAATATAAATGACCACATTCTCTTCTGCTCATAATTTACAAATTTTTTCACCTTGCTCGGCTACATATGGACCTTCCCCAAAGACATGTTAGATACATGTCATCTGATGAAAACAAGACGTGTGTCCCATCTGGACTGCCCTCCATCTTTAAAGATTTAAAGAGTGTGGCCATTTGTGAAATTGCCTTTGGCCTGCCACGCCGGCTCCTGAATATTGAAACCCCCCGCAGCAGAGCGATTCGTTTAGGTAGAGACACCCAATGTCATTGTGCAAACCATCATATTTTACATAATCAGGTCAATAATTTTAGATGCTTACTAAATAGTTCCAGTTGTACGGCATGCTGTCTGAAAGTAAACATTTAAACACAAATACTCAGCTGCATATGCTGTATATTAGCTGTTTTATGGACAAGCTCACTTTCAATTACTGCTCGGCTTTGCCTCTGTCATTCAATTTAAATGGACTTCCCAATTCCCTGTGTCAATTTAACCAGTGTGCATAATGCTTTGTGCCATGATGTCAATAAATCAGAACTTACTGGTTGTCATAGCAGAGGCCTGTTAGGAGAAGTTGGAGAAGAAAGGGGGGATGGAGACCTCATCTGAAGTACCTGGAGAGCCCTCTAATGGATGATGAATGGAACTACTGTTTCCCTTAATGCTTTTAGGCTCTGCAATAAAAAAAATCATTGAGAAATTGACCTCATGAAGCTATGAATAGGCATGTTTTCTAAATATGGCTGTTAGAATAATTGTTAATGCGATCAATAAGGTGATCCTGTTTGTTCTTGCTCTGGTCTCAACGCTGTATATTTATTGCCTCTAATATAGCCTTTATTGTAGGCATATGTGTTTATTTGTTGCTGATTAAAAGACCAAATGGGGGGGGGGCATATAACACCACCAGCACACCTGTGTAGTTATGGGTGTCTGTTTATACAAGATGTCAGCATTGCTGTGAAAACACTGAGTGAAAGTTGCTCCATGGTTTAGGATACACAGCTTTAGTCCTGTCCCAACTTTACCAGCCATCACTTGTCAGAGACCTTAAAGACTGTAGGGAGAGACAATAACAACATCCTTTTTTTCAGGGCCAAAGGAAGTAAACCTCCTTTTTTTCCTCCTTTGCCGTCAGCCAAACAAGTTTTAAGCTGATCCCAGAACATTTACAAGCATGTCTCATTGTGTCTTTCACAATATTTTTCCTTTCAAACACCCTTCATTCTTACTCCAACTAGACGCAATGAAAAATATATCCCCATGGTCTTTTTTTCTTCTTCTGCTTCTCTGTTATATCTGTGTTTAAAAATGTATTCAAAATATTCCCCTTGGGTAAACCTTTCACAGCTTTCAGTGCAAAAAAAAAAAAAAAGAAAAGAAGAAAAAAGACAAAAAAGAAAACACCTAAACAACTTTAAACAAAACCCTAAGACAATGCTATTGATACCAGGCATTTACCTTTGTTCGCAACTCGATGTGATTCAAATAAACAAGTGTGCCGTGCCCTATGCAGTGATCCACAGAAATGACAGGGGCTAAAGCAAACAAGCAGTGGGAGACATGTTCAGCTGTGGTTGCAAGCCTGGAGCAAGATCTCTCTTCTAAGATGTGAGAGAGGGGCTGTATAGTCGAGATGCTCATCTGCTATTCTGTTTGTCTGTGGCAAGATGAAAGGCATTCTTACCGAATCCACTGGAGAAGAGGCATATTGAAGAGGGATTGCTTTCACTGCTGGTTGGCATGGCAGCAGAGTCGTAGTTGGCAGCTCCCAGACAGAGATTGTTTTCAGAAATGCATGTGTGCCCTCTACCTTAAAAAAAAAACGTGTTTGTTCTGATAATCTGCGTCATCACAGTGGCAGATATTTTATCTATTAATAATTGATAGGGTGAAAATGGTGTGGGAGAAAGCTTTTGGAATATTAAACACAGTTTCCTGTGCACCTCTGTGCACAATGCAACTTTTTTCTGGTAAATATTTCATTTAAGAGATTTTTTTTAACGACAGTTAATAAAGTTTGGGATACAACAGACACTTTGTTAGTGAAACTGTGATTTTCAGAAATCACTGTTTAACATGGTGAGGCTGCACACATGGCGATGTGTAATGATCAGGCAATTCTGCATAATTGATGAGCCATCTGTCAGGGAATTTAGTGAAGTTTTAGAAAGAAAGCTCTTTCAGCAACTTAAAATGCATAAAACAAAAATAAGTTAGAACTTTAGTAGATGGATGTCAGATGGTGTGAAAATATTAGTTTTGCAAAAGACTTTTGTCAATATGTTTGTTTATGTAGACAACAGTTTGGCAGTACATTTAAACATCCACCCATCCCAAACATAAAACTGAACCCCTGCACCCGCAAGTTTATTTACCTTAAGAGAAAACTCATTTTCTAGCTTTGCTCATGTCGGCCCAAGTTGCTTTGTTGAAACCATTTTAAACTGAGCAGTCAAGCTGGTGGAAAATGTAAACAATGTCCCTGAAATCCAAATATCCGAATTGGCAGCAGTAAATGAGAGGTTAGCGCGTCTGTTGACGCAAACGGCAAAGTGATTAATCCCAGACTGTTAGGAGTCAGATAAGGCTGCAGTGAAGGCAGTGCCGCCTACACACATATATGCGCTATAAAATGCTGAACTACTAAACTGCATTTTTGAAGTGTTGAAGTCATTTGTTTGTCTGTATTGGCAAAGACACAACAGAAAAACCTGTGCTGTGGTTAAGAGCTATTTCATTTTATATATACACGTGTAATAGGTTTAGAAGTTTAACAGGTTGGTCTGAAGTGATGCCATCCTGAACAAATATAGGTAGATGTAGTATTATGAAGCCATAAAGAAAATAATGCTTTTGTATTTTTCCTCCGACCCTTAGCTGAAATTATTATTAGTGCTTAGTTATTTTCTTAGTTATTTCATTTAAGTTTTAACTAATTACCCCAAAGGGTATTATGGCGTTGTTGTCTTTTTTTTTTCAAAGAGACATTTTTTTCTGCTTGTATAAGTTCTCCATCTGACACCTAGAAGTTATTGAAAAGTACCAAAACATAATAAAACTAATACACAGTTTTATAGTAAATCTTAGATGCTGTCACATAATTTTACTGTATATGTTAAATAGACTAGAATTTACTAAATCTACATTTTTGAAATGAGAATTTGAAACACTTTATCAAATTAGCAAGTTTAAAGGGGTCATAGAATGCAAAACTGAGTTTACATTGTCATAGATGAATAACGATAATTCAGTGGGTGAAATGGACGTGCAGAAAAGTTCAAACCCCATGGACACCTCCTTTCTATGCAAATCTCACAATTCCAAACTTCCACCATAAAACAGGCGAATCCAAACGAAGCCTCGAGTTGACGTAAACTTGGGGATGGTGCCTTCTTTGGTTCTGGTCTGTACTTTTGTCACGCCCCAAAATTGACATACAGACCAGCCCACTCGTTCACTGGCCCAAGAACATGAATTGAGGTTGCAAAGATGGAAGACACTAGTTTAGCTCTTTAGCCTACAGTTGGGTTTAATTCTACAAGAATTACAAAGCAGGCTGTTTCTCTTTGAAAAATGAGCCATAACCAAGGGTGTAAATGCCGTGTTCCAGGCTACACGGAGAAAGGGGAAAATTTTCACAGTCTTCCCAAGGATCTGAATACTCGACAGGCATGGATTACTTTTGTCTATCAGAAGATCCCTGCAAAGTTTGATGCTCAGCTGTTCATTTGCTCTAAGCATTTTACCAAAGACGGCTTTCAAAATCTTGAACAGTTCAAAGCAGTATTTGCTAAACTTCTTTTACCGAAACAAGGGGCTGTTCCATCCGTAAGGCCTTTACAACAGCAAGCTGTTGTATGATTCTGTTGCTAAGCTGGTGATGGCTGAGCACCTTCGCTTTTTGTAAACCGACCAATCAGAGCACAGCTCATCTAAATATTCATGAGCATACCATAAAAGGAAGAAACATTCTAGGGCTTTTAATTGGGCTTGCGTTAGGGTGCATAGAACAGCAAATATGCCTTTTTCAGCCCAACCAATGTTACACAAGGTTATCAGACACCTTAAGGTCCAGTACCAAATACCCTATATAATTATTCTATGACCCCTTCAAAGAAAATCCTTGTCAGTGGTAATATCTATAAAACAGATCAAGTTTCTCCTTGAAGTTGGAGGTTAGTTTACTTATCTTTTACAAAAATTTCCAGGTAATTTCTTAGACTTTGTTGGAACTCACCAAAAGTTTGACATAAACTTTCAGAACTGATCTGCTTTCTCGGGCTTACTATATACTTTCCTCAAGCTGAATCTTTCAAGGACATTTTAGACAGCTTCAATTTACCAGCTATTGCCACAGAGAATAATAAGCATATACAGGTGCTGGTCATAAAATTAGAATATCATGAAAAAGTAGATTGATTTCAGTAATTCCATTTAAAAAGTGAAACTTGTATATTATATTCATACATTACATACAAACTCATATATTTCAGATGTTTATTTTGTTTAATTTTGATGATTACAAATGACAACAAATGAAAATCTCAAATTCATCATATCAGAAAATTAGAATATTACTGAAGACCAATAAAAACAAAGGATTTATAGAAATGTTGGCCAACTGAAAAGTATGAACATGAAAAGTATGAGCATGTACAGCACTCAGTATTTAGTTGGGCCTCCTTTGGCCTGTATTACTGCAGCAATGCGGCGTGGCATGGAGTCGATCAGTCTGTGGCACTGCTCAGGTGTTATGATAGCCCAGGTTGCTCTAATAGTGGCTTTTAGCTCTTCTGAATTGTTGGGTCTGGTGTATTGCATCTTCTTCTTCACAATACCCCATAGATTTTCTATGGGGTTAAGGTCAGGAGAGTTTGCTGGCCAATTAAGAACAGGGATACCATGGTCCTTCAACCAGGTACTGGTAGCTTTGGCACTGTGTGCAGGTGCCAAGTCCTGTTGGAAAATGAAATCTGCATCTCCAAAAAGTTGGTCAGCTGCAGGAAGCATGAAGTGCTCTAAAACTTCCTGGTATGTGGCTGCGTTGACCCTGGACCTCAGAAAACACAATGGACCAACACCAGCAGATGACATGGCACCCCAAACCATCACTGACTGTGGAAACTTTACACTGGACTTCAAGCAACGTGGATGAAGTGCCTCTCTTCTTTTCCTCCAGACTCTGGGACCTTGATTTCCAAAGGAAATGCAAAATTTACTTTCATCAGAGAACATGACTTTGGACCACTCACCAGCAGTCCAGTCCTGTTTCTCTTTAGCCCAGGCAAGACGCTTCTGACGCTGTCTGTGGTTCAAGAGTGGCTTGACACAAGGAATGCGACAGCAGAAACCCATGTCTTTCATACGTCTGTGTGTGGTGGTTCTTGAAGCACTCACTCCAGCTGCAGTCCACTCTTTGTGAATCTCCCCCACATTTTTGAATGGGTTTTGTTTCACAATCCTCTCCAGGGTGCGGTTATCTCTCTTGCTTGTACACTTTTTTCGACCACATCTTTTCCTTCCCTTCGCCTCTCTATTAATGTGCTTGGACACTGAGCTCTGTGAACAGCCAGCCTCTTTAGCGATGACCTTTTGTGTCTTGCCCTCCTTGTGCAAGGTGTCGATGGTCGTCTTTTGGACAACTGTCAAGTCAGCAGTCTTCCCCATGATTGTGTAGCCTATAGAACTAGACTGAAAGACCATTTAAAGGCTTTTGCAGGTGGTTTGAGTTAATTAGCTGATTAGAGTGTGGCACCAGGGGCCATCAATTTTGAACCTTTTCACAATATTCTAATTTTCTGATATGATGAATTTCAGATTTTCATTTGTTGTCATTTGTAATCATCAAAATTAAATAAAATAAACATCTGAAATATATGAGTTTGTATGTAATGTATGAATATAATATACAAGTTTCACTTTTTAAATGGAATTACTGAAATCAATCTACTTTTTCATGATATTCTAATTTTATGACCAGCACCTGTATATCCAGATTCTACTAGATATTTTCACTGAACTTTAATGGAAAGTACTAGCTATTTTCCAGAAAATTCCAGGTTCTTTCCTGAAATTATCCTCAAACTCAATACTAACTTTATGAAGAAGTAAATGGTACTTCCAAGTACTTACCATGTACATTTCTAAATCGTATATTTTTTCAGGACTCACTATGCCCGGTTAAGAACAAGGTTGTTTCATCTATTACCTGTCTGCCTTTTTCTTGTTTCCTAGGTATGACTATGTGGAAATAGAGGATCCCACCGAGAAAACGATCCAAGGTCGTTGGTGTGGGTCACAGTCTGCACCAATAAGTCAAAAATCTAGAGGCAGCCAAATCATTGTACGGTTCATCTCAGATGAATACTTCTCCTCAGAGCCAGGATTCTGCATACACTACTCTGCGATTCCTGAGGTAGGTACAATATTGGTAACCACCAGGACACTGTATGAAGAAATTGTGGGTTCCTACATGTGGATAACTAAAACCATTGTAAACCACATGCCTAATTGACAAAGAGTGACGGTGCTCTGTGAAAGCGTGATTGAAAATCTTTTACCCGTGTCTTGATTTGCAATTATCTATTTCTGCTTAACAGTTTTCAAGGCTTTTGGTATCATTTGGGAGGTTTTATATTGGATTTATGTTAAAGCTTAGGAACATCTGGTACATGTGCTGTTTTATTATTACAGCTATAAAGATGATCAAATTCTACAGCACTGCACACACATTTACACAGGCAAAACAATGAAAATAAACAGTATCAACATGTGCTGCAAGGCAATTGTGGAGAGCAATTCCCTTGTTGATTTGCATGCAAAGTCTGAACGTTGATATTACGTCTAATTTATATTCCTGGAGGTTTATGTAGTTTGTTATGCTATACAAATGTTTCTTGTTTTAACTGAATACATTTTGGTTAAGATTGAATTTTCTTTTTCCAGGATTTCTTTTCACAAATAGGTTTTGGATTGAGATTCTGATACAGACCATAGCTTACAGCTGAAAACCACGGATAAAATCAAGACAGTGCTTTTGTGTTTTGCTAGAGGAACCAAACCTCTACCATCTTTATAATTAAATTTTTGATTTATGAGGGGTTGGAGTGGTAAATCCTCTCAGATTGAACCGACAACCTTTAATGTCATGGATTCATTCAGCATACTTAAATGAAATAGACTATTGGCTCTCTCTTTACCAATATTGTTTTACTTTACTAAAAAAATTAAGCTGGTGTAATCAATAAGTTGATCAAAGAAGGCTATAAAAAGGTTTGTTAAAAAATAATAGGCCTTAGCTCGTCAACAGGTGTGATATAGGCTATATGGGCCGTTGCCCAGGGCAGCATTAAAAACGAGTGGCTGCACAGTCATATACTGTATTTAAGAGTTCTTCATAAAACATTGAAGAAACAGTGATTTACACAATCATGAATTGTCATACCATCAAGGAGATCTTGCTAAATCATTCCTAAAATGAATAATTAAAGAATCAATAAAAAGTTATGTTATAAATATTAAAGTAACAATTAGATTGGTTATTTGTTTCCTCATTTGTTTTCTCTATATTCATATTTGCTCCTTGTGTGCAGCCAATATCTCTTTACTGCTTTAGACCACACAAGGATACATGTGCCAGATCCCTTTGTCCGAGCTTTTTCTCCAGCATAATCCCTGAGATAAACTTAAGAGACAACAGCCATGTTTTAACCTGTCATGTTCTATTTACTTGCTTTAAGTGAACGACTCTTTGCATTAATCCTTCCGGGCTGCGTTGGGAATAAGCAGGTTACTGGTAGCGTATTTTAATGCTTATTTAAGTTTTATTCTGCTTTGAAATATTTACTTTGTCCTCAAACTTCTTTTCTATATTAAATCCAATGTGAAGATTTATGACAGGAGCATAAAATAACTGGGTACTTTTGAACATTAAGGGAAAAAAAGAGGTCATGCTGTACTTCACACAGATAAAGGTGCACGGCAAAGAAACCTTAGGTAGAAACAAATGCATGTCTGCACTTTTACTTTTTTGCTAAAGAAAGTATTCTTTAAAAAAAAAAAAGTGTTTTATGATGGAAACTCTCTTGACTGAACTTGCCTCTTTTAATATGTCAAAAGTTTAGTCGGTGTAAGCACCTCTCAGACCAGCAAAGCTATATAGAAAGACATTGTGTACTGTAGATCCAGATAACTTATTTACAGTTGCATCACTTTGCAAATGACATCTCTTTCCCAAACTAACATGTCTTAAACCCATTGGCCATATGAGAAGTGATGGGTTGTAACTAGTTACATTTACTCAGTTACCTGTACTTAAGTAAATCTTAGAAAATTGCACACCACCATTAATTTGAGCTCCTCAAATCGAATATGAAGTGATCAGTAGATTAGTTAGTTAGTTAGTTAGTTTAGTTGGAAATTCGTGATCCTTTCCGAATATATATATATATATATATATATATATATATATATATATATATATATATATATATATATATATATATATATATATATATATATATATATATATATATATATTCATCACATGCTGTGAGGATTGGTTTTATAAGTTCATGTTGGACATTTCTGTTATTTTATAATCATTGTATCTATTTTTTTAAATTATTTTATACATTAAATTAGAATATATTATATTAGTGTTAAAGTAACACTTTTAAGAGTTAAGTTTAACACCAATCTGAGTGCATTTGGTCACACTCAGAATTAGTGTTAAATTAACTCTACATTGTGTATGTCTTAGTTCAGGTGCTTTTACAATGACTCTAACAGAGTGAATGTACTTTCACACTGCATATTGAACACTGAGGAATTTAATATATAATATGCACATAAGTGTATCTGATTACATCATTTAAACATGAAATCAGAAGTTATGATTCAGCAGTTACCCATTACTTCAGTAGCCATGTTTTTACTCTTACCTGAGTAATATTTAGGGTGCTTTTTTTTATTTGACTTGATTAAGAAAAGTTAGAGCAGTGCAACACTTAAGTAAAATGTTTGGGCACTTATACTGCAGCACAGTCTGATCTATTTTCAATAATAATTTAGCATATGTATATGTTCAAACATATACATATGCTACATATGCTTGGTGGATTAAAAAATCTGTACAGAGCATTAAACTCTCAGCCCGAGATGGTCAAGAAAGCTTTAAACATTCTAAAAGAAGCTGAGATTGCCTAAGCAGAAAACGCACATTTTTAACCCTGTAACTGATTACATAAAATGAATATATGTCTTGAAACAACTGAGTTACTGAAATAAGGTTTTGAGCTGATTCTATGACAGCAACTTTCTAGTAATTAAACAACATATTTGTGAGCCTGTATACTGTTAAACATGAGAATTAGAGAAATTTCCCATTTCTCATGCTTTTAAAATGCACTGAGGTGAAGTGTTTTACATATGCCAGCCAAAAAAGCCATGATTTAATGGAACGTTTTTGCCCTTGATGAATGTTAGTAAACCTCTGACTGGCATTGGAGTGTTGGACCTGACATATTAAAAAATATGCATAATATTTGAATGTTGGATCCGCGTAAAAATAATTCCTGAATATATTCGGCAAGATAAAAAACGGTTTAACTGCAGGTTCTCTAAAATTATTGAACACATTTTTAAGATTTATCTCTGTAGCTAAAATTGCACTTAAACCGTGATTAGATCTTTCACACAAGACAAAGTTTTTCTTTCAAAGTCAAACTCTAGAAGGTGCAGGAAACCATCTGGGAGGAAAGGAAAGCTTTTGGGCTTCAAATGTTCAGTTTGTCTTCCCTTTGAACCTCTGTCCCATGGAGGAGGTGCTCACTGAACAGCAGCGCTCTGTGTTTCCTCTGTGGTCAACCAGCAGCTACTGGAACCTCATACCAGGCAGAGGCCGGCACTTTAGTTTATATTTAAACAAGCAACGATTCCTCCCTACCACTTCCAACGAATAGGAAGAAGGGAAAAAATAAAACCAAGTCTGTAATCCACAGGAAGAGATTTTATGGAAGAAAAAGAAACAGTCGAGGCAAAAAGGTTGTTAAAACACAGAGGAGAAGGGGCCCGTTGAACAGAGCGTGACGAGCGATGAGTGGTGGGCGTTTCAGCTTAGGGGAGCAAACAAAACATACATCATTGTCTCAGGGTGCTGAGGTCTCAATCCAGAACTGAACTCCACTGATCTGTTTGCCTAAAAGATCCCTCTTCTAGCTTGTTTTTTTAATGGATGAAAAATAAATTTACACAGTCAAGATGTTACACACTCTGGTTTGTTTGAATACTGGTCTATAACGTGCAGAGAACATAGAATCTATTATATTTGGACGGAAAAGACAGATTTAATCCAAATATGTTGAAAACGCTGAAGCAAATCTAAGAGTCTTGTCATAATCACTCTAAGATCTGCTTTTACACTGACCTCAGTTACTCTTAATTGTGTGTATTGAATGAAAAAAAATACACCTCATGCACACTGACCCTTGTTTACTCAAAGATTCCATGTGCAAGGAAGTGGTTTGGAGCTGCATGTGAAAGAGGAATATATTGTTTTCAAGAGTTCTCCCAGGATGCTATTTCAGAATTGTCATCTCAACATGGTTAGTTGAACCTTTCATTTTAGCTAACAGGAATAAGATGATGTGGTTGTGTGTGAGAAGAACAGAGAATGTGGAGCGCTGCTTGAAAACCGGACTGTTCTTGGGCGGCTGGGGAGAAAGAACTGATTGCAAATGCAACATAAAATTAATAAAATACATATTTCACTTTTTAGAAAGTATAACAAAGCAATATCCCTGCTGTAACACTCTTTAAATGTCAAATGAAATAAAATGTCAATATATTGATTGAGAAATATAATTTTGTAAAAGGTTGCTTGAAAATTTAGAGGGAATTATTTTTCTGACCTAAAGCTGGAATAGATATGTTTTAGTGTTTTTGTAAATATTTGCTTAAGTGGGTTCAGAGGACATCACCGATGGCTGAGACCTGTTCTTTCTAGACCAAGAACCAAGTATTAGTTTCGATTTTCAACAAATATTTCAGGACATCATTTGTTTTACAACACAAAATACAAAAACATAATGGAACAATGGTTAATGAAGCAACCAAAATGTCTTTTGCTATTAAATGAATACACATTTCTTTAGTAAATACATTTGTTTAGATTATGCAATAGTTTTATGAGGAATTTTAGAAAACAGTGTAATCCATGGTTATCTGATTGGTTCAAACCCGTTTCTGCTGACTCTGCTTGTTCCACCCTGGTCTAATCATTAAAGCCAGGCTGTACGTGCTCCTTTCCAGACTGATACACCAATTGTTGGGGTCATTTTTAGAGTAAGAATTTTCTCTACATTTCCAACCACCATTTTTTATCTATTTCATTACTAATTCATCTGTATGAATTATTTAAGGAACATATTGGATCCTGGAAACCCCTTTTAAATGAATTTGAAAGTTTTTTTTATTCCCTTTTCCATCCGAAATCTTTAATATACAACCACAAGCTATGTTTCACATACTTGACATGAAATTTTGTTCTTTTTTTTTTTTTTTTTTTTTTCCTGTCACTACATTGCCTCTTATATGTCAGTCAAAGAAGATAACAAAAAAAAGACTAGCAGTTTGACATTTTGCCAAACATGATGCTCCAGGAATGAAAGGTCTAACAGATTAGCCTCAGCTGTTGTGGGAGGAACAAAAGCCAAGTTATCAGTCTTCTGTGTGAGAGCACATTGCAGCCAGGAAAACTGAGGGCTGAAAGAAATAATAGTCACCAGAGCCACAACAACAAGCCGGTATGCAAGTGGGAAGAGGAGGTAAAAAGATGTAATCTCATTTGACAGCTTAATAAAATTCTTTCCTTTTAGAATGTTGATGTCTTGTCTTTAGAGGCCCTTGGTTTTAAATCTCATTTTTTTAGGTTTTAGCAGGGACAGCCCAACTAAACATCATCACCCATAGCCAACTGATGCAGTCTACACAGGGGCTTCTAAGCCAAAGCCTAATTCACAGAACCCAACCTCAAATGGCACTGAATGCATTCTATACACCTCTACATTTTATGTTTTGCAAGCACCAAAGCAAGGAATAGAAGCTTATGTTCTCAACACTTGACCCGTGTTGGTCAAAATCATCTACATTAAGCATGGTCTGCATGTTTAAACAAGCTGGTTTTGTTTCTTTGTTACTTAAACTGACATAGATTCAATTTAATATAATACTTTCATTC